TTCCCCCCCCCCCCCCCCCCCTCTCTCCCCCTTCCTTTTGTGATATAAAATGGTGTGATTAGAGATGATTTCCACTACAACTAACAGTTATATCACTGCCAACGCCCGTCACTTTTACATAGCATTACTATTCCCATAACTATTAGCAATTACCGTTTATAATATCATCCCTCATTTTTCGATTACTAGTACTATCACTGTAATATTTGTACCATAATGGTATTCTGCTTGTAATTTTTCTGTGCATTCCAATCCCACACTTCGATAATTGCAGGAATTCATAACTCAACGAAATACTGGCGAATTTGAGGAGCAACGTTGGGCTCACTACACGGAATATGTCTTTTACAGGGAAGCACTGTGCTCCGGTGGTTTATCACCGCTACCGTGCATCAAAGCGATTTCACCCTCTTCCTAATTTCTGCTTATTAGAAAACCCACTTTTTTGAAATTAGCGATTTTCAACGTTTCCCCGCGAAACTATCGAACTTCTAGTCAAATATGGCAATAAGAAAATTGCAGTTTTGCAATTTTTGTGATTTACCAAATCCGAAAAAGCTACGTGTAAGGCAAAAATTTTTAAACTATGCATTTTCACTTAAACTCTGATTCGTTAAAGATTTTCGAAAAGCGCCAAAATAGGTGAAATTTGAATAGCGTAATTCTCATCGTTCCTGTGATACTGTACATTGTTTGCAACTATCATATATTTCCATTTAAAATGATATGCTTCCGAACTGTTCCTTTGCACAATTTGAAAAAATTTGATGGAAAAAAAGGAGGACTGATTGGACGATGTCCAAAAGTATACGAATGAGGTACAGTGCATGCACAGGACTAGTAGTTCAATAAAAAGGAATTTTAAATTTTCCTCAATGGTACTCAGCTCAAATGTACTGCTCTTTTTGTAATCTATGAACAAGCCAATGGCAGTTTGCCGCTTGCAAAATCCAGAACGGACCCCTGGACGGGAGGTGAGGGAAGAGTGGGCTCCTGGAGGAGGAGGAAGACGAGGGGGGAAGGGGACGACGGAGAGGGAGGGGGTGACGGAGGTAACGGGAGAGTCCCCATCCACCCTAGAACTATGCAAAAACTAGGGATAGAGTTGTAACACTGCTATTTAGAACTACATCAATCTTTAGCTTACTTCACTTTTAGCTCTTAGATCTGGGCCTTTGCAGCACCGGTGTCTGTGCCGCTGGGGTCTTTCGTCCTTCCCCCCCCTCCTCGCCCCCTTTCCTAGGTCCACCTATGACCATTCCGGCTATTTCTACCCTTCATAAAACTAAATACGAAACACACGTTCAAGTCAAGAATGGGCTTATCGATACGAAAAGTAAAACTTACAGCTCCACCACCTGCAACTTCCAAAGCGGTTGCGAATCGAAGATCACGAATTCGGAACAGTTTAGCGACAATTCCGCTGACCAAGCGGCGATCGAAATTTGGATACGGATCAGAATAGTCGAATTTTAAATATGGATTCCTGTAAAAAACCAATTTTCAATGGGACCGAACGGAGCGTGAAAATCGAAACTGACATAAGTAATACATCGTTTACCGGCACCTCAAACCTCAGCTTCTCCTGAACTGGTTCTCTGGAAGAAAAAATCATGAGGTTTACCAACGGGTGGCTGCTAATTGGAAGCTATGCCACTCAGGTTACTTCCGAGGCTTTCTGGCATTCATAAAAAGCAAGGCATTGCACTGATAACGAGGGATTAGGAGAAGAGGGAACTGGGCATGGATTTTGTAAAGTACTGCGAGTTTGACAAAATCCGAAATTACTGGCAATTTTTGGCCAAAAGCAATCGTCAAAATTCAGAAACAGTCAGAGGACTTTGAAAATAATTTGTTCCAGTACAGCGGATTAAGCAATTTAAAACTCGGGGATCATCCAGAAATTCGAAATTTTGTGAATTCTGAGGAAGTCCACTAAAATTCCAAGAAAGATTCACTCCGTTTAATAAAAATGGTTGAATATTTTTTAAGATTCACGTCGTTTAATGAAATTCGTTGAATATTTCACGGCGTCTTTCTGTCTTCTCGAGTGCACGAAAAGATAGAAAGGTACCGTGAGATATTCAACCAAATTCGTTAAACGGGGTAAATCTTAAAAAAAAAAAAACCCCTAAAACTATTTGTAAAAAAAAAAGATGTATTTTAAAGGCAAAAACCATCAGCTGATTTCATTTCTGTCATAGTTGTAATAGAAAAACTGTCAGCTTCGCTGATAATGAAAAAATGAGTTGCAACGTAACTAATCGACATAGTGGCGAAGCACCAAATCCAAAGAGCTCGGACCCCTTATGTATGCGATTTGATGGACCGAAACATTCCCATTCAAGTTTTTATTCCGATTTAACTTATTCACATTCCCTTTTATTCCCTTACTTTCATACCCGTACTTTTTACATAAACATACATCATCTAAAATTAAAATTACAGTTATGTGAGCTGATCCCGTGTTTTTAAGTTTCAGCAGAAAATCATAATCTGTTATGTGCTTTCCCAGTTTCATATGAATGCATAGGAAATACAGAAAAACGCCAAACAATATGCACAAACGGTACAATAAAATTAGAATACCTGGCTTCAAAGTTCATTATGGCATCGGCCAAATTTCGGCGTTCAGAAGAAAGCGCACGATGATCTTGCTTCATTTGTATTTCTGCTTCTTCGTTAAAATTAATTTTGCCTAACTCAACCTGAAACAGCATCAGTTGCGGTAACGACGTCGAAAAGTAGGACAATCGTAGTCAATACAAAATTTCTTCATTCGCCATGAGAAATGTATGCGACTTGATGCACCAAAACGTTCCAGTTCGTCTGATTATTATTATTTGATATAACTTTATATTTCTCATGTACATTATTGCTAATGTCTTCATGGAAGATGGAGACTTGTGCAAGAGACCCAGCGAAAGCACTTTGTCAGTTTGTGTTCGTTGCGACACACGTCGAGTTCGATTTTTATTACTCCAACA